CTGAATGGGAGCTATGCCCCCCCTGGAATCGACTATGACACATCCACCCTTTAGGCAATTGTCTGGTCTCACTCACTTGGGTACCTATGTGATTCTTGCCACCCGACCCTTTGGTCCAGCAGAAATTGGGAAAGGATGGTTACACAACGAACATGACCCCTACGAGTACGCGGTTACAGACAAGGACGTAACTGTCATGCATAGTCGATTGCGTCACGCCCTACATTGGTGGTGCTCATGGTGCGATAGCAGTTTCATCCTGTCCATCATCGCGAAAGGCTATTGGCTTCCCTGGAAGGAAGCCGTGCCACATGCCTTTGAGGATAGCAATCACGCTGGAGTTCACACACACCTGGACTTCACTCGTGGAGCGATTCGCGACCTTGTCACCTCGGGTGCCGCCGTCAAGGTCCATACGAAGGACGCGCTCATGTGTGTCAGTCCACTTAACGTGGTGGAGCAGCGCGACAAGTGTCGCCTCATTCTTGACTTGCGCAAAGTCAACAACTACCTCGACATCCCCAAGTTCAAGTACGAAGGCTTGAACAGAGTAGCCGAACTTATCCGCCCTGGCGATTGGATGTTCTCCATCGACCTAAAGTCGGGCTACCACCATGTCAAGATCCACCCCTCCTGCTGGAAGTTCTTGGGATTCCAGTTCGAAGGAGACTACTATTCCTTCATATCGCTCCCGTTTGGGCTTGCCACTGCCCCGTTCGTCTTGACACAACTGATCAAACAACAGGCAAAGCGATGGCGAGCAAGCGGCGTGCGGGTTGTTCCATATGTCGACGACTTACTATTCCTCTGCAACTCCCACTCGGATGTACGCTCGACCTGCGCAGCTGTTGTTAAGGACCTGAAGGCAGCAGGTTTTGTTATAAACGGAAAAAAGTCACATCTACACCCCTAGCGCCAGATAGCTTTCCTCCGCCTGGAGATTGATGCCGCCCAAGGCACCTTCTCCGTCGGACTTGAACGTCGAGCACAACTTTTTGCTTCACTCCAAGCCCTCATCACCCAGGGACAAGAGGGACGACCGGTTCCCATCCGGTCCCTTGCGAGAATCACAGGAATGCTGTCCTCCATGAATCTGGCATTGGGTGCTACGGCACGTGCCTTTAGTCACGAGCTCCTTCGACTTATTGCAGATGCCACCTCTTGGCACGCCAAGGCACACTTGTCGTCGACAGCAGTGCACGAGCTGCATTTTTGGCTTGCGCAGTTCGACAAGTTCAACGGAAACCCATTCCATCTCAGTCACCAGTTCGATGCCGTCATCCATGTCGATGCAAGCGGACACAGCTGGGGCGCCACCCTGACACAACTTCCTGGGACGCCCATTGAAGCCAGTGCTCGCATGCCCGAGGAACTACTGCCCACCTCCAGCACTCGACGGGAACTCGAAGGAGTTTTATGGGCTCTCCGAACTTTCACTGCTCGCATACCCAAGCGCCACGTACTCGTTCGGGTAGACAATCAAGGCGTGGTATTCATCCTACGCAAAGGTGGATCGTGCCACCCCACGCTTACGCTACTGTGTCAAGCAATCATTCGCCTCTGCCTGGAACACCAAACAAGGCTAGTTGTCGAATGGATCCCACGAGAGCTGAATGCGCACGCCGACGAACTTTCAAAAATCCAAGACCACGATGACTACTCCCTCAAAGCCCCGTGGTTCCGGCTCTTGGATCGCCGCCTGGGTCCCCCTTCTATCAATCTCTTCGCAAACGTGCACAACGCTCAGCTGGAGAGGTTTTGTTCCAAGATTCCACACCATATGGCCGCAGTGTTTGACGCATTTTCGTTCAGCTGGCAGCACGAGCGCGGCTTTGCGTTTCCCCCTCCCAACCTCATTCCAGCCACATTACGACACGCTAAACGCACACATGCTGAGGTGACCTTGGTCATTCCCGAGTGGCCGGGAGCATCATGGTGGCCACTCCTCCAACAGGCACCTGACGCCTGGGTGCCAGAAGTAACGGCACACATTCCCCTCACCCACGGCAGCCAATGCCTACACCCCGGCACACACGCACTCGCTTTCGCAGGACAAGGCTTTCCTCCTAGTAAGATGATTGCACTGCATGTCATGTATAAAAATTAATAATAATTGTACTCTACGCTGTACCTTTTCAGGCATTATAACGAAGCTGCAAACACAACTACTACACGTAATCACCCATGTCCGTGCCCCTTCCACCATCCGAACGTATGAGCCCTACTGGCTCAAATTTTACTCCTTCTGCATGAAGGTGAAGTTGAGCTACTTGCCTGCAACGGATATGACCTTGGCACTCTACCTCATTCATGCACTAAATCACCAGGCCACCATATCTGCCATATCGCTTACATGCTCCGCCGTCGCCTTCGCGCATCGCATGACTGGCGAGCCCTCTCCCTCGACTGGACCATTTACACTACAAGTGCGCGAATTTGCCAAACGCCATGGCCCGCGCCCCACCCGGAACAAGGAACCTTTGTCGCTGCACCAAGTGCACACCATGGCCCGCCCCTTTCTGGAGTCCACCCGGCCGGCCGAATACCAGAAAGGACTCATCCCCATCCTTATGTTCGCCGCCTTCCTACGCTACTCCGACCTTGTCAGTCTCCAATGGCATGACATACAGTTTGAGCCGGAGGCGATGTGGCTGCTCATCCCGCACTCCAAGACCGACCAGGAAAGTAGGGGCACGTGGATTCCGGTCGCCGCCACTTCTGGCCCATACTGCCCGGTACGCTGCACACGACACTTTCTTCTCCTCGCGGGTCACACCTCCACCCCACACGGGCCACTGATCCGAGTCTTCGGGAACAGCAGTACGGCAACTCCACAGGACCACGCACCTTCGTACACCACCATCCGGAACTGGTGCCTTGAAGCATTCACCAGGGCCGGCCTCGATAGCGCCCACCTCGGCACCCACTCCTTTCGCAAGGGCGCTGCGGCAGCCAGCCCAGGGATATCCGACCGGCTGCTCAAGCGACTTGGCCGTTGGCGCAGCGATAATGTCAAGGAGCTCTACGTTACCATCGCGCATGACCAACTCCTTCAAGCCTCCATGCAACTCCAAGACGCAGCCACCGCTCGAACGCCCAATCAGCACCAGCTATCTATTGAACGCCACCGCCAAACCCCTTTTGCACATGTCTCAGAAGACCCAGATGAAATGAAGCACGCTGCCTTTACAAGAGGACCTAAGCAAACTTTCACAATATGTACTTTTTTGAAAGTGTGTAACACTTTCTAAAAATGTGTATTGTGAGAGTGTAGCGAGGGTTGCAAAGGCAGCAACAAAGCGCTACTCACCCTCTTTTGCCTTCAAAAGAGGGACGTGAGGCCATTCGGCCTCACCCACGTTCTTCATTTCTAGTTTCTCTAGTTCAATTTCCCCGCCCACCCACCCTCTTGTGTGTAGTTCTTTGTTGGACGAGAACCATGTATGTTTCCCAGATTAAATGAAGCACGCTGCCCAGATGAAATGAAGCACGCTGCCTTTACAAGAGGACCTAAGCAAACTTTCACAATTGACTAGAATGGGGAGATACAAGGTAATATAGATTGGTGAGTTGTACTCACTAAGGCACAGACACATATAGTCTACAGTAACTGCATAATTTATGTTTGACACACCCCCTAGACTATATAGGGGTAGTGCCTAACAAGGGAAGAAGCAGCTCATGGCGGCACTACTAGTCCAGCCTCTGGGACAAGGGTCTAAAGACCAGTCACAAGGAGTACAAACAAGGCAAGAGCAAGACCAGGGCGGCACTACTAGTCCAGCCACTGGGAGAGGCCACAATGTTAAAATTATATCAGTTATATATAATTGATAGGCTTGGTAGTTGTTACTGAACCGTATTGTAGAGGGTACAATCCCCTCCTTGTACCCCTCTCTCTTCCTAATCGAATCCCCACTTTTTCTCTCGTCAAATCTTCCTAGCTAACTCTTGGCTGTCATTTCATGGCGGCCTTCTCCTTCCTAGCTAGTTCACTTTACAACACACAAGGCCAGTCAGGGTAAGAAATATATATAAAGGACTGTACAAAGTCAAGGCCCTGGCTGTCAAATGTAACTTAGGTTGTTACTGTAGACTATACTGGATTGTGCCTTAGAGGGTACAACACCCTAGTTTATATATCCTTGTACACACACATTCTAGTTCAATCATTTTCTTTCGGATATGGTATCATAGTAGGTTAGATCCCCCCCTAGCCCGCTCACGCTTCCGCCCCTACGTTCCTAGCCGGCCCCCCTGGTCGTTGCGCTCGTCCCTAGCCGGCCCCCTGGCCGTTCGCGCCCGTCCCTAGCCAGCCCCCTGGCCGTTCACGCTCGTCCCTAGCCGACCCCCTGGTTGTTCGCGCCTGTCCCTAGCCGGCCCCTAACCGTCGCGCTCGTCCCTAGCCGGCCCCCTGGCCGTCGCGCCCGTCTCTAGCTGGCTCCCTGGCCGTCGCGCCCGCTCCTAGCCGGCCCCCTGTCCGTCGCGATCACTCCTAGCCGGCCCCCTGACCGTCGCGCCCGTCCCTAGCCGACCCCTGACCGTTCGCGCCCGCCCCTAGCTAGCCCCCTGGCTGTCGTGCTCGCCCTTAGCCGCCCCCCTAGCCGTCGCGCCCGTCTCTAGCTGGCCCCCTGGTCGTCGCGCCCGCTCCTAGCCGGCCCCCTGCCCGTCGCGATCGCTCCTAGCCGGCCCCCCTGACCGTCGCGCTCGCCCCTAGCCGGCCCCCTGGCCGTCGCGATCGCTCCTAGCCGGCCCCCCTGACCGTCGCGCTCGCCCCTAGCCGGCCCCCTGGCCGTTCGCGCCCGTCCCTAGTCGGCCCCCTGGCCGTTCGCGCCCGTCCCTAACCGGACCCCTGGCCGTCGAGCCCCTCCTAGCCGGCGCCCTGGCCGTTTCGCGCCCGCTCCTCGCAGACCCCCTGGCCGTTTGAGCCCGCACCTAGCCGTCGCGGCTGCTTCTAGCCGCCGTCGCGGCCGCTTCCTGCCGTCCCTCGGCCGCCCCTA